ACATCCTTAGTGTGTGTACCCAAGGTTATGACAAATAAAAAGGATATGATTCTGAACAAATTTTCACTTTTAGTTTTTTTAACCAGTGATCTTTTAGGACCATCGCTGTGACAAAAGTGATTTTCTCTTTTTTAAAATAAACTGCTCCCCCTCGGAATGCGGGATGGGACAGGAACCAGTGACAACAGTGCAAAGTGGAGAAAGCCAGCAGGGGAAGTCAGGAGTGTGGTTTCTTGCAGATAGGTCCAGCTTTCACTTGCATGAACCAGTGTTATGGAGCCACACCTAACCATGTTTGGTGTCGCGTGGACGAGACTTGTGCTTGAAGACGTCCACACCACATCTTCCCCAGAGCCAGTTTGGTGTAGTGGAGTAGTGGACTCTAATCTGGGAGAACCGGGTTTGATTCCCCACTCCTCCACTTGCACCTGCTGATGTGACCTTGGGTCCTTTGCAAGCTCTGGCACAGCTGTCCTTGAAAAAGGGCAGTTTGTGTCAGAGTTCTCTCGGCCCCACCCACCTCACAGGGTGTCTGTTGTGGGGAGGGGAAGGGAAAGGAGTTTGTAAGCCGCTCTGAAACTCCAAGTGAAGGGCAGGGTATAAATCCAATCTCTTCCTCTTCTTCTTCTTCATGTGTTTTCTGATTCACTTAGTTATCTTGTCTTTAGCATAGGCCAGGAGGCCCCAAGTTTGGTGAACCTGTGGGCACAATGGAATTTTTGAAAATGGGTAAGTGGGGTGCCACCATCAAATGACTGCCATGCGTAGGGAGCAACACTAACCACAGTATGGCTGCCACGGAGGCTGGGGCCAGTCACAAAATGCTGGGAGGTTCCAAGTCAAGGATCTTCCTACAATGGAGCGAACCGTTTCCAAATGGTGCTCCCTGAAGACACAAAGGTGATGCCTCTTGGGCTTCCCTGGAGCATCTCCTGCTCCAATGAGATGAAGGAAGGCAAGCTCTGGCTCTTTGGTATCAGGGAAGAGATGCTTTGGCAAAAAAGCAGAGGATACCATGATGGTGTCCTGGATGGCATACATCCGAGAGTTCTGAAAGAACTCAAATGTGAACTTGTGGATCTCCTTACAAAAATATGTAATCTTTCATTAAAATCTGCCTCCATTCCTGAAGACTGGAAGGTAGCTAATGTCACTCCCATCTTTAAAAAGGGTTCCAGAGGAGATCTGGGAAATTACAGGCCAGTCAGTCTGACGTCGATACCGGGTAAGTTGGTGGAAACTGTTATTAAGGAAAGAATTAGTAGGCACATTGATGAACAAAAACTATTGAGGCAGACTCAGCATGGGTTCTGTAAGGGAAGATCTTGTCTCATTAACCTGTTAGTGTTTTTTGAGGGAGTGAACAAACATGTGGACAAGGGGGACCCAATAGATGTTGTTTACCTTGACTTCCAGAAAGCTCTTGATAAAGTTCCTCATTAAAGGCTCCTAAGTAAGCTCAATAGTCCCGGGATAAAAGGAGAAGTCCTCTTGTGGATCAAAAACTGGCTAATTAATAGGAAACAGAGAATGAGTATAAATGGGAAATTTTCTCAGTGGAGGGTGGTAAGCAGTGGGGTACCACAGGGATCAGTACTTGGTCTGATGCTTTTTAACTTGTTTATTAATGATTTGGATTTGGGAGTAAGCAGTGAAGTGGCTGAATTTGCAGATGACACAAAGTTGTTCAGGATGGTGAGAACCAGGGAGGATTGTGAGGCACTCCAAAGGGATCTGTCGAGGATGGGCGAGTGGGCATCAACGTGGCAAATGGGGTTCAGTGTGGTCAAGTGTAAAGTGATACACATTGGAGCCAAAAATCCTAAATACAAATACACATCGATGGGGTCCAAAATGGCAGTGACTGACCAAGAGAGAGATCTTGGAGTAGTAGTAGATAACTCAATGAAAATGTCTAGATAGTGTGCAACTACAATAAAAAATACTGATAGACCCATCCTCCATGAATCTGTCTAATCTTTTAAAGCTGTCTTATGAATGTGGCCATCACAACATCCTCACAACATTCCACATTATGACTTGTGTAAAGTAGTACTTCCTTTTGTCTGACCTGAATCTACTGCCCATCAGTTTTGTTGCATGTCCTCGAGTGCTAGTATTTTGGGAATGGGAGGAAAATTTCTTTCTCCCCTCATTCCATCCCATGCATAATTTTATAAACCTCTATGTTATCACTTAGTTGTCTCTTTTCTAAACTGAAAAGTCCCGGACTCTTCAGCATTTCCTCCTAAGGCAGATGGTCCAACCCCCAAATCATCTCGGTTACCGTCTTTTGTACTTTTTCCAGCTCTGTGATGTCGAGAGATACAGTGACCAGAACTGCACACAGTCTTCCAAATGAGGCAGCCCCATACAGCATTATACACAGAGCATTATAATATCAGCTGTTTTATTTTCAGTCCCTTTCCTAATCCTCACAAAATCCCCTTTTCACTGCTGCAGCACACTGGGTTGACACTTTCATTGAGCTACCTACTACTATTCCCCCCCCCCACAGCAAAAAAGATGGTTCCCCATGTATAATTCTTTCAGATCTTAAGACCACCTTGTTCCACTGGCTGAGTTTACTCTCTCTGGTGTAGTTCTCCTGTTCTGACTTGGATTCTCCTTTCATCTGTAGGGGCAGGGTGCTGTTCTAAACTTATCTCAAAGGAAGCAATCAATGTCTGTTGGTTATCTGGTTCCAGGTTTGGGGTAATCCTTGCACCCCAAGCTGAGTTTTTGGACCAAATGGCTGTAATGCTGGATTTTTCCATTTAATGTTATTCATTTACATTATTTATAGTCATCTGCTTTTCTCACAGGGGACTCAATGTGGATTACACAGAATAAATCAATACAATTAACAGAGTGAGACATCTGATAGAAACTGCAATAGGTTTTAACTTGTAGAAATGTGGAAACCAACCAGAGGTGAAGCACAGAATTGGCTTCTGTTTCAGAAACACATAAAGGGTGTTTTGTTTTTAAATTATTTTCTGCAGAGGCCTTAATTGGATGATCTCCAGAATCTTAATTTCCTTTACCATGCATCCAAGAGACTCAAATATGTGGAATGAAATAATACCAAAATACATTCATTCCATGTCATGATTTCTCAGATTTGATTCTTTTGAGGGGCGCAGTCCTCTTGTGGGACTATCACCTGGGAATTCCATAGGAAAGCACGTGCTTGAGAGCACTCCCTATAAGAATCTCCACGCATCTATATATTCCAAATAAGGCAACACAATATCTTCCACATGCATTTTGACACTGGGGTGCTTTGAAATAAATCACCTGTATTCTAAGTACAGTATAATCCTCGGTGAAGACTACACTGCATTATCCCCCCAATTGTTCATTAACACTAAATCCATTTTGAAGAACTAACTTTACATTTTGAGCACTGGAAGTTAGCAGATCACACAAACTGGTTTGAACACTGTACCAGTAAGCAATGCTCCCTCTAAGCTGTGGGGTCCTGTGAGCAAAAATTCTACCTTGTGAGCTACTGGTATTAAAGTGGTGAGCAAGCGATTCGGCTGCTGCACAAATTCGTTTTGCTCTGGAGCCCTCCTGCCTGAGTGGAGATGAAAATCTGTGAGCTGGAGGCTAAAAAACCATGAGCTGACTCACACTAACTCAGTTTAGAGGGAACACTGCCGGTAAGGACAGATTTGCCGCTTGTTCTTATGTGTTGACTGAGGTTTTCGGAATCAAATCAGTTGTCCCGTGCTTCTTGTTACTTACACAGTTAGGAACCTCTACATAACAATATGGAATTTGAAAGAAACAGCTCAGATTATGGGCAATTGAGACAGCAGGTTGCTTCATCTGTGACACTCAATATGGCAATTTCATCCTTCACATCTCCTAAAAGACAGAAATGCATGCTCTGCTCTCTCTCGGTTGCTGCTGCAGTTTAGTCAAATAAGAGAAGCCTCATAAACTGGACGCACAACAGACAATTCAGAAAATTATACGGCATTTTGTTTGATTTCTTATTCCATAATTTCGTGGGGCTTTGCTATTTTAGTGCTTCTGATCTCCTGTGAGACTGTTTCTTTCTGAATACTTAAGATTTGTGTTTGAAGTAAAATAGGCGTGCACAGACTTGCTCTGTGATATTACAGCAGATCATTTGTGAATCTCTACCACTGTCAAGAACCCGGGGCCCTGTACAGAATGGGCCCTCTGCAGGGGGAAAAGGCAGGATAGAAGCCTCTCAATAAAATCCTCTTTCTAGCCACACCGTACCATTGTGGCCCTCTCTTTTATGTCCCCTAACAGGTGCCTGATCAAACAAAGTTCTACTAATGCGATTTCCCCCCATGTCATTTTCAAAGTACGTCTGTCTCCTCCAAATGCTCCCCTAATGCTCTAATAGAGGGGCCCCCACAAAGTGTTTTAGGAAGTGGGTGGGGCCAGGTAGGCTTTAGCCCAGCAAGGCATCTGATTGACTATTAGAAATTTGATTGGCTGGGCAGATTTCTTCTATGTAAATATTACTTTGTCCCCCATAAGTACCCTTTCCAAACCCCATGCCTTTTCTTCCCCCCTGCATGTGCTCCGAAATCACTTACCAAGGTTCCCCACGAGGCAAAGCAAGGGGTAGTTTTTCCCTATTGTTTTACCCTGTTAGCTCATGCAGCTTGCTAGTAGAGACTTGGGTGAAACCCAGCAGCAGTTTCCCTCAGCTGCGGGGACCCAAATCCGCATTGGCTGGTTACTTATAGAGACCCTTTTTGAGGACTCCCAGAATCCCCCCCCCAGTCCCCCCCCCAGTGTACCACAGAGAGCCTTGATCGGGATCACCACAAGTGCTTATGGACTGTGCCATACAAGTGCAAAGGAGAGGGAGTGCATATTACCAACCTTTCCTTTTTCGTGGTTTCTGGTTTGGGTCGTCTCACTCACAAAGGGCTCACCTTCCACCAGTGCTGGGTGAGCAGCGCTCTGACAACACACCCTTCTCACCCTCACCCTTAGGGCCGGCCATGGTCATCTGCTCCCTGCTGGTCTCCCTGCGTATTTGTCTGGAGCGACACCCACCTCTGGTCACCTTCTTCTTCTGTCTCCTTTCGCTGGCCGTTGCCTTTGGCAGTTTTGCCGCTTACCTCCAGTCGCATGATGTTCCAAACCCTGATGTCAAAGAGGTGAGCCAGGGATGAAGATCTGAAGGACTTTGGAATGAATTGGGCTTGAGGGTAAAGGGAAGCATCAAGAGGTGTGGAGGGAAAGACAAGTGTCTAGCCTTCATCTTCTCCCACTCAAGCTTGTCAATAGTTTAGGTTAATTAAGGGAGATGATTAAACCACTTGATTAAACAGCCATGCCGAAGCTTTAGGCTTACTGGCTGACTACTCAGATGGAACACATAGAGTCTCCCTAAATGCCACAGGCTGGGCTAAGGAAAAGTAGTTTAAAAAGAAAAAAAGCCATATACAGTGTTCGTACCAGAAGGCACTAGTCTATGCTGAGTTTGCCGGATTTGGGAGGATGCACTGATCTGATCTTGAGGAGGGCAGTTCCATGCAATCTCTCCTTATATATAATTGAATAGTGGGTGCCAAAGTTCTAATTCTAAAATGCACTCCCTTAGTGTATGGCTGATGGCGCTGCTGCTCAGCATATATCGCCACCAATCAGAAGGCAAAGCCCGGGTCCCGCCCACACCACAACTGCTGCGACAACCTGGTCTTTTGCATATGGAAGCTGATTGGACTTCACTCCATTCCACACCTCAAACTCCCCCCCCCCCTCCGCAAGGCAGTTGGAATGTCAGTTGCATATGGAACCTGCTGTATTCCGGTGATGTGCAGGTCCAAGGTTCATGTTTTAAAAGCAGACTGACACTGTTTGCCCAAAGCCAGAGCACTCTCCCAGAGCCTCTTTCTAGATCTCGTTGTATTTATTTCCACAACGGGCCTTATTTCTAGTTTTCATATAATTGTGTACCAAACTACTGGGGGGGGGGTGTTATTTTTACAAATCACTGTACAAACTGCTTTCCCTTTCAAAGGAAACTGACCTTGGAGAGCTCTAAATGTTCTCCCACTTGGAGGAAGGAGAGCAGAACGACATCAGCTTTAGCAATCTAAGCTCTTTAAACCCATGGGTTCAGCTTTTATAGCCTTTTCTTGATGGTTGCCAGCTTTCAGTTTTTACAGTTAAGACCAAAGGAGTGGGGTGGGTTAGGAAAGAGCACTTGAAACATGGAAAAGTTTTTATTTAAAAATGCAGGCACAAAGGGAGTGGGGGGGAGGAACTGAGAGGCAGTTTCCAACCCTTTCCCCTCATCTTTAAGGACTGGAACTCTCTCCTAACATCTCTGGCACATCTGATGTTCTGTGTCCCAAACAAGACCCATGAAGACACCTCAACGCCACCTCCCTCTGCAGCTGCTGAATTCCATACGACAGTCTCTGTCCTGGTTGGCCTCACCTTTGAGCTCCAGAATGGCACAGACCCTCCCAATGGCACACACCTGGCGTTGACTGTCACCGGGAGAGAGCTGGGTCTCAAGGGTGAGTGACCTCCCACTTTTAACAGACTGCAAACTGTCCCAGTTCCTTCTCTTTCTTTCCGTTTCCCCTGCCCCCCACTTGACCCTCCCATCTGCCCATTCCACCCACAGGCCCAGATACCCAGGAGCCAATCCACCTTGTGATAGCCATCATGAATTCACTATCCCACGAGAGCTGCCTTAGTATCATTGCTCCCTCTTCCCTTCTCCCCAAGACCAGGTAAGCCTAAGAACAAGAAGCCAGCATTGCAGAGTGCTCTCGGCCCACTGATGCAACAAATCCCATCTTCTTCCCCAGGAAGCCACCTGAATGTGTGATGCGGGAGCGAAGGGTGCATCCAGAAGAGCCAGGCCTTTGTTACCAATCGCATTACCAGGATGATCCTGCTCTGTCCAGCATGCTGGACCAGGTGAGAGATGATGTACTAGGGTGCATTGGGAGTCAGAACCTCATCCTCCTCGAAGGATGCAGAAGAGGACTATTCACTGTTGCACTCCTTTCACTCCCAGGCAGATCGTGCCCTCTGCAGCCAGCGTCTCCTGCTCACCACTGCTTTCCTTCTCTGCCTCTGTGCCATGCTGTGTTGCGTGGCTGGCGTGTGCTATCCTGCCCCCAGAGACAAGCGGGGGCAAATCTAGGTAGGTCTGGCCCATGCCACTCCCTCAGTCCTGTTCCAGAGAACCCAGATGACCTGGATATTTGTCCTTCCTTCTCAAAGCCGCTGGGTTACCCAATGCTTGAAACTTTGCCGTTCTGATGCAAACACAACTGTGGGAGGGGTTTCTGAGCTGTGAATGGGGTTTAACCCCTGTCTTGGTTCACTGCTGGGGGGACTGTATGGATCCCTGCTAGAGTGGAATAATGCAATAAAATGACATATTATTTAAAAGAGTAGCTTGGGGTTTTTCATCATTGAGAGCAGCACTGCCATCGACCCAAACAGATTCAGGAGAGTCTTGCATCCCACCGAGTGGGACAAGGGCTGCTGTCTCATTGTCCTGGACAGGATTATCACACTGGGGGGGGGGGTCAACAGTGGGAGGGCTTCTAATGTCCTGGCCCCACTGGTGGACCTGATGGCACTGGTATTTCTGGCCACTGTGGGATACAGAGTGTTGGACTGGATGGGCCTTTGGCCTGATCCAACATTGGCATCTCTTATGTTCCTATGTTCTTATGTTCTTAAATGTACTTTTAAAATTGGGATTCATTTAACTACAGCTCCTTGACATAATGTCAATAGCCATGGCTTCACTGATAAGAGCTCAAAGATAATTGTCCTCGACAGGGCTCTTTTTGTAGAAAAAGCCCAGCAGGAACTCATTAGCATAATAGGCCACACCCAACAGCAGAAACTCATTAGCCTATTGGGCCACACCCCTAACAGCACAGCTCATTAGCACATTAGGCCGCACCCACATGTTACCAGAAGTGTGGTAACCCACCTTTTGCTTGTTATTCTGTTTACCTTGTTCATTGTCAAAACCCAGGCCCTTTTTTTGTAGCAGGAACTCCTTTGCATGTTAGGCCACACACCCCTAATGTAGCCAATCCGAATGAGTTTCTGATGTTGGGTGTGGTCTATTATGCTAATGAGTTCCTGCTGGGCGTGGCCAACTTGGGAGCCAGCCGGAACTCCGTCCCTGTGCGTTCCTGCCCCAAAATAGCTCTGGTCCTCGAGATTCAAGTAACTCAGGACAAATGATGTGACCATGATGAATCTTGGTCCTTGTTGACATGAATAGCGTCATAAGTTAGCTGGTTCATTTTTAACAGGACCATACCAAAGACTCAGTTAAACTACCCCATTCCTTTCTGTCATTCCCCCACGCCAATCTGAGTACAAATGTCTTGCTTGCACTGCATCCACAAGAGAAAGAGAATGCCGGAACTGAGAGGCAGCCGTATGCTCTTGAAGTCCCGACCTGGTACGCACAAGGTACTCCTAAGACAGGATTGCTTATGAGGTATCATGGAGGAGAGGCAAAGAATATTAGCTTATAGTCTCATTAATTTAAAGTGGTCTAAGATGTGTGTTTGTGTGAGAGACCTAACAAACAGAGAGGAAGAAATGTTTAGATCATATTTCTTAACTGTCTGTGACTATAGTTTGCTGGCTTGACTAGGATCGCTAACTGTCATTAAGCTGGGCTCAAAGCATGCAAAATGAACTTCCTAGCCTGTCGTCAGGGAAGGGGTCTTGGCTTTAGTGATGCTGTGAATGTATCACTATAAGAAATTAGGGGTCATATTTTCTATGGGAATGTCTGGGGCATGCCTTTGTCTCAGGGCAATAAATTCTCATAGATGTGAATGGGCTTCACAGGTGCCATTCTTCCATTCTTTTGTATATACAATAATAATGTATGTGTCATGGCCTTCAACGTGTATACCTAAAGGTAGTGTTGTCATCTTGCCCCTGTTTGCAATTAAACATGCAGCCCCCGTAAGTGTGATAAGTGGGGAGTGATTAGTAAAAACTAGAAGCCGGCCGCCAAAATCAGTTCGGCCACACTGTCACTTCTCCTTTAAAAAACAAATCGCATATTTCTCCTGTCTTTCAAGACATTCAAAGTGATAGATAATTCCAATCGGTGTTCCCTCTAAGTTGAGTCAGTGTGAGCCAGCTCACAGTTTTTTAGCCTCCAGCCCACACATTTTTGTCTTAGCTCAGGAAGGATGGCTCCAGAGCCAACTAATTTATGCAGCAGCCAAAATCGCTCGCTCACAACTTTAATGCCAGTAGCTCACAAAGTAGAATTTTCGCTCACAAGACTCCACAGCTTAGAGGGAGCATTCGTTTCAACCTATTTCATCTTTACAACAACCTTACAAGGTTGTTACTGAGTTGCCGGCCCAAGGTCATTCCGCAAACTTCAGTGTTGAACCATCTGGGTCTCCTAGGCTGTCCTCTGACCCTTCAACCCAGTGATTCTCAAACAGTTTGAACTGGACTCCACTTCTAAACTTAGCACAGCTTTTAGGACCAATTTTTAAACTTCTCATCATTTGGGAGGAACCGACTTGCAAAGTAATACCTCATTATTTTCCCCTTCACCAGCTTAAACTGCACAAACTGTATTTCAGTTAACACTGAACAGGTTTTATTTATATTTCCTATAGTTTGCATTTATTTAGCATTACTAAGCAACTAGCTGCATTTCACATTCATTTTGGATTTCGGTCTGCAGAATGTGAAAATTTGCCCCTCCGAAACTTCTCTCCAGTTGATTTTGTTCTTCTTTGACTTGTGACCCACCTGTATGGTTGCCAACTCCAGGTGGCACTTGGGAGAGCTCCCACTACTACAGTTGATCGCCAGACAATCAAGATCAGTTCCCCTGAAGAAAAGGGCAGCTTCAGAGGGTGGACTCTATGGCATTATACCTCTGCAATCCCCACCTTCCTCAGGCCCCACCCCTAAAATCTCCAGGTATTTCCCAACCCACAGTCGGCAACCCTCCCCACCTGTGAAAGAGACGTGACTAACGTTTAGGGTCTTGACCTGCAGTATGAGAAACGTCGCTCTGCACTGGTTCTCATTAAACTCCATTGGCTCTGAGATACTGGGTTGGAGTGATAGTTGAAACCACAATGGGGTGAATTCATGTCAAGCTCTAGATTTAACAATCCTGTGTCTTCTAAACTCCTGAAAATGACCCAGCAACCCTCTCCCTTGGCCTCCCAAGTTTTGCTTTCTCCCTCACTCTTTTCTTCAGGCTCCATATCGCCATTGTTTCCTCAGGTCCTTTTTCCTTAAAGCCACCCGGATTCCTGACCCGCTTCACCAGGATTTTATCGTAAATCATGCCCTATTTTTAAACACTGCGAATCTTTTAGGACCCACTTTCTATTTAAGCACTTCATGCCTCATTTCCCTGCACTCTATCCCGTAGGCTTCTGTTTCCGTTTCTTCCTTGGCAATCACCTGTCCATTAGCTGTACTTAACCAGTTCCTAAGGCCAAAGTCCTCAGCCATCCCTTGTAATGCTATCATAAATTCCCAGGCAAAATGAGCATTGCTCCTTCCCTCACAAAAGCTGGACTGCAGAGTGCTCTTTCTCTTGAGCCACTGCAGCAGCCAATGAAATAGTACTGAGAACTTCACTGCCACAAGGCCTGTGAAGCACTGATCATACTGTGGGTAGCTTCATTTAGGGTGAGAAGTGAGGCCATTTTACAGAATTGTGGATGGGTCTCATTTCAAACTAGTCAGCTTTTTCAAAAGGTATAACTTTGAAAAGGGACCTACTCATTTAGAATATGAACAGACTTTGAATCCAGTGGCACCTTTAAGACCAACAGAGTTTTATTGACGGTATAAGCTTTGGTGTGCAAGCACACTTCCTCAGATACAGTGGAACAGACCATCACTCATAGGGGGTCAGGAAGGGTCATTTAGAGTCAAGAGATCCTCAGTTCTCACTTGTACCCAGAATTGAACTTTGTCTTTGAAGTGCCACTGGACTCAAACCTCATTGCTACATCTGTTTGTTAACTCTTGTATTTGTATGCTGAAATTGAATGCCAATCACAGACCTTTCTTACATCCAATCTCAGCTATAATCACCCAGTACTTATGCATCTTGACTCTAAATGGCCCTTCCTGACAACACCCCTATAAGCAATGGCTGAGGAGGTTCTGTTGCACTGTATCTGAGGAAGTGTGCTTGTACGCAAAAGCTTATACCACAAATAAACCTTTGTAAGTCTTAAAAGGTGCCACTGGACTCAAACTTTGTTCAGCTGCTTCAGGCCAACAGAGCTATCTACCCCCACCTGAATCTATCATTTAGCTTGAGAATACCTAAATCCCGCGCCTTTCAGTTAGAATAAGATTCGAGGCCGTCCACTGAAATTAAACACCCTGTTAGGTTTGTAACTTTCGGCCAGAAGGGCGCCTGTGATATGTCACTCCTCCCTGTCTGACGGAAGAGGGACGGGTTCAGCCTGAATGAAACCAAGGTGTCTCGTGAGGTGAAGGAAAGGTCACCCTCCAGACGAGACACAGTTCGAATGTGACGTCGCTGGAGCGATTCTAATTCCGCCCTCTTTCGAAGGCGCTCAAGCGCGCGGCAACAGTTAAACGGTCGCCTGCAAAACCCCCCCCCCCCCTTTGAACAGCTGTTGCTCCTCCCCCGCTTTTTATGTTTCTACGGCCACGGCCGCCCTCCTCTGTCTGAATCCTACCCCAGTAACAGCTGAGCGGTGGCGCTCCGCCCCTAATGCCATCAGCCTACCAATCACGCCCCGCCTTCTAAGGTAACGTCCAATCAAAGCCGCTTAAGGGCACATAGGCGTCCCAACCTGGCTCCTTTCTAGCCAACCCGGGTACCAGCCTCCTGCTTTGCTTTCGCCCTTTCCCGCATCCTCCTCCAATCTCAACTCGTATTCCTTATTCTCAGTCAAATTTTAGACTCCCCCCCCCCCCCCGACTTATAATTGCCCTGTCCATAGACCGTAGACCAAACCAACGAACGCAGCGCTCTCACTAGTACTGTGAGTCTCGTCCCTCTATATATTGCGCATCCTCTCTGCGTCTATAACGTCCCATCAGCCCGGCCTCCTCACACCGACTTCGACAGTACGCATGCGTACAATGCAGTGCCGCGCCGTTCTGCGCAAGCGGACCTTCGTTTTTGCTTCGAGGAGCCTTTCGGCGCGTGCGCCTTGTGCGGCGCATGCGGCTCTACCCCTGGCTTCGCCCCCTGCTCACTGCGCGGGCGCGCTCTTCCACGGTCGCTCCCCGCCCTTTGCTTTCGCGCATGCGCCTGAGGGGCTCTCTGGCTTGGTTCCGGTCTGCCTCCTGCCTTGGGCGCCATCTTGGATTTGGGGACAACTGGAGAGAGTGAGAGGGAGGGAGGAGGCGGAGGAACCTGAGGAGGCGAGCGAGGGGAGGGGGGGCCGGATAGACCAAGGCCCCCCACCCCCACAGCACCCACCCCCTTGCTGTATAGAGACTTCCCCCCTTCCCCACCCCTCCGCCCCTTAGCGCTCCCCAGACCTTATAGAATTTCTT